AATGCTCCTAAATCATACATAGAGCAGAATTACCATGTTTTGATTAGCTGTGCCAGTAACTTAAATCCAATCTCCACATCTGAACAATAGGATCTAATTAGAAGGCTGTTCCTAACCCATGGATATCGCAGCTGAGAAACCCTTTAAGGAAAAGCATGTCTGAACAAAGTGTGAACTACCTGTGTCTTTCTGCTTGTTCCCTTTAATGTATTAAGTATATAGCTTTGTTAAATTTCTGCAGCTCTAGTGTAACTGTACCATCACAAGATAAACGCTGGTGGTAATGCTGTGATACCAACCCTTTCCTCCTAAATCACCCATTTCTGATCACTTTTTTAGTGTAATAGTGTTTTGCCTCTTTCATGATGTATAGCTGAGCCTGTGCTGATAGGCCTGAGTCAGCCTACATGAAAGCATGTGTTTATCTTGCTGGCTTATCTTGTGATTTAAGTTAAAACAACTAGACTCTATTTTCCATGTCATTATAGACATAGTCATGTCCATAAAAGGGCTTCCTGAGATATAACTTATTGTGACTTGGCTGACAGAAGATCAAGATAATTGAAGCTTAAAAAGAAACAACAAACTAAGACATCTTATGTAGTATTCTTCACTGACTTCTGAAAAATGGATGGAAGCTGCATTTATGCTATCAAAATGCCACTATAAATGAAGGGTGCTTTTTTTTTTTTAATCACCAGGTTGGGCAAAAAGTGTTGTGTCCACATACTATGCAATCTGCTATATGGGGTTTTCAGCATATTTCCTCTATCCTTTGTACTGTGTAATAAAGCATGGAAGTGGTGTGGCAGGGAAACAAGTGCTCTAGAAAAGGGACTAAAAAAAGGGAAATATTTCTTGTCTAGTGAACTATCTTCTACCTGGCTTCAGTATCAGCTGATGTGATGTGAAGAAGGTCAAAAGCACCAGAGATTTCAAAATTCAAAGCAACCCAATCTACTTGCTAACAGGACTTATGCTGCTGGCTGCTGCTGAGATCTCTTTCACCAGCTGCCTCACCCCAGTTGCCTTTTTCCTTATCTTTACTCCCACTCTTCTGAGTGGGAAAAGAAAAAGGGATCCATTTCTCAGCCAGGTGAAGACTGTGCTGAGAAGCCTGTCGAATTTGTGCAGGTGGCAACATTTTATGCCAGTTACTAGTTCAAAAGCAAGAGCTATGTTGCCATTTGCCTCGGTAATAAACGAACAAACTGCAATTCCCTGCCGTTTATGTGGTAGTTACCATATTTTCATAGCGATTGCTGCTGTAGAAATAAATGGATATGTGCTAAACTGTATTTGCACAGTTGCTTTAACACTGGTGGTTTCCAGTAAAGGACAAACACAGTGGGGCGTGTCACAGCAAAGCAGGTACAAGTGTTAAAAAATAACATCTTGTAAGAGGGTCATTTAAGTGGTAAACCAGGCTGGCCTGCTGGTTTCTTTGCTGTAACTCCACTTCCTTAGGTGGGGTTGTGCCTGGTATGTTGTGCTAGGTCTGTAGAGCAGTCAGGGCCAAAGCAAGGAAACTGGCAAGACCATGTTGCCCTGAAACAGGTCCTACCTGATGGTTTGGATCTTTATTTCAACATACTTCAACTTAAAAACCAGGCTACGGCTAACGAAAGCATTTTAATCATAAAAATGGGCAGAGTCTATCCACCCATAGTCCCCTGGTATTAGGCTTCTACCATGTGGTAACAAACGCTTTAAGAACAGAAGTGCTGCAGTGAAGTGTTACAGGGAAGGTGCAATTGGAACTAACCTTAATCTTTTAACTGGCTGCTGTTAGGGCTTCTTGAGTAAGTCCTCAGTAGTGAGCAGGGTGCTGACCCAGCCGTGCCAGAAGCGATAGTCAGACAGTTTAAGGGGTAATGAACAGCAGTCACACCCTTTTCTACAGTGTTGATCCATGCCCTGACGCATGCTGCTTTGTCTGGGGCTTCCCTGAGGATCACTGAAAGCCTTTCCTGCTGGGTCCCTTTGGGGCGCACAAGGAAACTGTCAGCTGAAAGTGCACAGAGAACTTGATGTTCAACTCTATTTCCAGAGGTGGGAGAAAGTGTTTTCCTTGGCTTTTGTGTCACCCCTCATCTGAGCTATAGCAAAACAATATACCTGGGCATTGCCTTTGGGATACTGTAATTAAAACCAAATATTCATCACATCTTCTCAGAGCCCCAGAGCACATAAAGGCTGTCCCCTCTTTACGTCTTTGTACTGCACTACAGGCAAGTTAAGGTGTCTGTCCTTGACTTTGTTGCCAGGAACTTATTTACAGTGTGTCTAGATCCTTTATTTGAGGCTCTGAAATAAAGTCTTGTAACTTACCTCCACAGGCATAGCTGACCTCTCTAGTACCAGGGTAAAGCTTGGCTGAAATCTTGATCAAAACTTGAGCTATGCTTTCCCAGGAGAAAAGCTTTCCCTTTCTCTCCCCTCAAACACCCCCAAATGTGCACACTCAAGAAATGCAGGGTACTCTGGCCTGAAACAAAACCTCCCCTCTGTCATTCCACCAAAACACAGTGGTAATAAATACACTCTTTCCCCAGCAGGGATGATTAAAGTAACAACTCCCTGTGATAGACATTAGCTGAATTGTTTGATGAGTCTATGTACAAAGTACTTGGATACAACAATAGGTATGCAAGGCATCCTATAAAGTAGGGTTAGTTTTTAAAACGCTATAATGTACGTAAGTCTGGGTTTAACTTTTATGTAGAAATAATGTCACCTGTGAAAAACTGGACAATGTTCATAAAGAATGGAACATGATCTTTTCCACCACCTTCTTTTGTTGCTTTTCTTTATCTTTTTTTCTCCTTTCCTATTTCTCTGTTCTTTCATTTCTGGATTTCTTTTTGCCAGGCACTGAAGTGTAGTAGGAGCAGAGGCGCTTTCCCTGTTTCTCCAGAGAGCAGTCCAGTTTTGTCTGTAGCTCAGCAATCTCTGTGGTAGGGCTGTTCTTGCTGCTTCTAAGTCTGCTAGCTTTATCTTTCATCTTCTCTCCTTTCTTCCCCCCTGCTCTGCTCCGTTTGCTTTCCAAGATGTCTATCAGAGCTGGAACTGAACTGCCCGTGCAAGACAGGTTCTGTAGCATCTCTTCCTACATTTCATGGGGTAAATTTATCAAACCTGCAGAGCAGTCTGCTTTAGCATACTCTGGTGCTGTTTTGAAAGCTACTGGCAATGGAGGAAATGAGGTCCTTCCTCCTTCCCCCCCCCCCCTTCAAAGCCCATTTGCTGTAATGTCTAGAAAAACAGCCACTCAGTATATGCACTTGAGTAAGGCAGCTTCCCCTAGCAGAACACTGGATGGTGGCTTGCAGGAGACAGCAGGAACTGACAAGCAAGGTTAGAAAACTTAGGAACAAATCTGCTGGAGGGCAGGTGGGAAGAAATCCTCCTTTTTTTTTTTCCTGTGCAAACAGCATGGTACAATTCCTGAAACACCAACTCAGAGACCATGGCTGCCTTCGTGTATGGCACAGCAGTGTGGTCTGCAACTTCTTTTCTCCTGCAATAAAGGGTAATTGCCAGCTAAGTGGCAAGACACAGTTTGGTCCCAGCTCCTTATACCAACCCAGCTCCTTCAGGACAGTGTCTCTGTTCCTGTTTATCTTAATGCCCAGAGCAGGATTTGCCACTTTAAAATGTACTGATGTGAAAATTCAACATGACATTAGATAGTGCAGTGAAGCCATGGAGAAATATTCATTTTCCCTTGCTTGATTTCACCTACCTTTTACCCTTAGCCTGTTCCAGTCTCAAAACAAGGAAATGTTTACCCTTGACATTAGTAATGCTGCTCCATGAACCTCACTTTATAAAAACAAATTGTTGCAATATTTTCACTTTAGTGGCACAAAACTCATTCTCAAAGATAGTGAGATGCTGTAGCTTTGATTTAGAGCCTGCAGTGATTTACCAGGCTTTGTTCTTGTAGATAAAGTAGGGAGAAGTTATCTCCAGAGCACATCTAGTTGCAAGTCTTGATTTGTTCCCATTGCAGCTAGGGCTTAGGAACCCTGCAGCCCCCTTTGAGGTATGGGTCACAGTGCTACACAAAGTGCTCCTGGGAATTATGGTCCAGTAAATGTTGTACTAGTGGTTTTTGGGGTGCAGAATAGGATTGTTCTTAACTCACTGGAGCTGGAATTTCCCACTGTTTTGCTTGAAATGTGCTAGAGTAGACTAAAGGGGGATGTCCTGCCAGTTTTCACGACCTATGCAAGCTTATATGAACAAAAATAAGTAGCTATTTCACTGTCACTACCTTTCCTTGTTCTAAGTCTGCATCCAAATGTCTTTCCATCTCTTTTTCTGAGGATTTACATATACTTGTTTGTTTTCCCCAATGCCTGTGTTCATGGCACTAAAATAAAGTAGTGCAACAGAGGCTGTAACAGAAGTGATTATGAGGCCTCTCTTGATCCTGTATTAAAGTTGGCTTCCCATAAAAGGGGATCAACAAGGAAAAATCCTACTCTGTAGCACCCTGGAAATCATGGAAGGTGTCTCCTTCCTTTCTTCTGAACTCTCCCTGACAAGTAGTGATGCAGAGCACAGATGCGCTTATGTTCAGGATTCAGGGTGCCTTGGGCATCAGCACAGAGCTGTGACTCTGGTGTGTTTCTGAGCCCACATTGCCTTTAACAAGCAGCCTAGGTTTAGGTTTTGATAAGGTTTAGGTTTTGATAAGGCTGTCCCTTACCCATGCAGGATTAAAGCAGTGCAGCTGACATAGTCAGTTTCCCATAACAGAAGGAGCTCTGGTTGATATGGGTTTAAAACACGTGTAAAAATCCTCCAGTGACTCCTTCATCTATTTAAATTGCTTTAAATATACAAAACAGCGTTGACCAGAACGCTCTTTTATGCCTTGTATGTCTGTATAATTCAATAAGAAAAAGCTGTAAGTGCAAAGTAGTAGGTCTTTTTTTACTTCTTTTTCTTCCATAGCAGACTTAAAATGGAATCTGTGCTTCTTTATACAGACTGTTGGGAGAGAAATCCTGCTCCATTTGATAGACTTCCTGGTGACCAGCTATAGGCGGGACCCAGTTATTACCCGCTTACTCAATAATACCCGGATTCATATAATGCCAACAATGAATCCTGATGGATTTGAAGCTACAAAAGTGCCTGACTGTTATTACACGCGAGGAAGGTAAGGGTGGCTTAGGAGGGTGGGAGCAGGTAAAGGAAATGGGTGGGAGTAATAACTAGAGATAGCCAAAGACTGAATCATGATCAGTGGAGTGGATAGACCAGGGGATGTGTTAGGGCTAATTTTGGCCTGGGCTGTTCTGAAGATACACTGTTACAGCATAGAGTTTTTGGAAGACTGAGTCAGACTGGTGTTTATATGTGGTGCAGCTGAAGAAAATTGGTCAGAATGGTGTAATGACCTAACCTTTTAGGCCAGAGACCCAGATAACGAATAGAAGCACAATTACCTGTTTAGACCTTTAGGGTGCTACAAAAAAAAAAAGGGGGAAACATCTACAGCACTCTTTCAACTGGAGAATTCTGTAACCTTTATTAATGTGAAAAAGATGTGTCTCAACTTGTCAAATGGACTTATAAAAATATGTTTAAAGATCACATTGAATGCAGATGTAGTAAGAGGGAAGAGTTACACAAGGAGAGGTAGCTCTAATAGGTGCTGTGCTAATAATAGTGCTCTGGAAAAAACATGCAAAACAAAACATAACCTAGCATTGCATCCTGTGCTGCTTCTGCATTCTTTAATGTAACTATTGTAGAGACCAAAGAGGGGAGGAAAGTTTAACAAGCTAGTAGAGGGAAAAGGAGGAGAGAGTGGGAAGAAATACCAAAGAGACAAAAGTGGAATATGCACTAAAAGCAAACTCTTAGGCCATGGCAACACCAGAAGCAGATGAAAATGTAGCTTAGGTAATTTAGTTTTCCAGGTTTCTTGTGCAGGCCCTCCTTTTTATTAGGAAATACGTTTATTTCTCAGCAAATAGACAGGACTTTTATGGAGGGTGATACCTTTTTTAGCCCCTCACTGTCAAATAAACAGAGTTTAACTAACTTGAGTTTAAAAATTAAAAGAGCTGACACTAAATATTGTCTCTACTCTTGTACTGACCTATTTGAGTGAAAAAGGAAGAAAGTATTTGCAAGATTGGCCCTTCAGGTACAGGGAGAAGAGTACACATCCTGGGTTTGAGTCACATTTTTTTGATGTCTAGAGTGACAGCAGTACAAAGGACACAGCCAGCCAGCAGTTAGCTTGGTCTTCTATACAGGTGTGAAGAACACATACAGAAGGGCAATACCTCCCTTACTTGGCTTAGGTTTTTCTAATTCATTTATGTGCAGGTGTGTATATGCTATATGCGTTAAATGTTATTCACTGTTTCCACCTGAAATACAACAGAATCGTTTTATTGTGTCCTATGCAATTCCAGTGCTGCCAGGAAACAAACTAAAGTCCATCTTCGTGATGCTTGAGGAGATTTACAATGGTCATGTTCCCTGTTTCCTGAAGACACTAGCACACCACAGATGTGAAGTACTGGGAGGCTGGCGACCTGAAAATGTCTGTAAGAAAAGCAGTAATAGGAATGTCTTCTCTTTCTAAGGTACAATAAGAACGGAGAAGATCTGAACAGAAATTTTCCTGATGCCTTTGAACGTAACAATGCCAGCATTCAGCCAGAGACACAAGCAGTCATGAACTGGATAAAAAATGAGACATTTGTTCTTTCAGCAAACTTGCACGGGGGTGCCCTGGTTGCCAGCTACACCTTTGATAATGGCAACTCAGGTAAGCTAGTAACAAGCTCTCCTCTCCACAGCTGATGTGGGCTAGGAACGTTAGCTGTATAAAAGCAAAATTTGTAAGGATTTTGGTAAGGTTTTATCAGCTTTTGAGCTGAGGTGGGCAGACTTCGTGAAACACTGCCTGATATGGCTACCTGGAGATGGTTATCCTGTACGTAAGGCAGCACTGTACCAGTAATAAGAGTGATGATGGCTCTCTTCATCCTGCAGCTACAGGCTCTTTGGAAGGCTATAGCAAGTCTCCAGATGATGATGTCTTTATCCATTTGGCAAAAACCTATTCTTTCAATCATGCCAGCATGTACAAAGGGACTGGGTGTGACAACAGACAAACCTTTCCAGACGGCATTACCAACGGGTATTCCTGGTACCAGCTGGAAGGTAAGGGCATCTGTGTTTGTTTTTCAGCTCCTTCAGATATGATGTTCTCACTTTCTCCTGCCATCTTTGATGATGAAACGGCTGTGACTGTGCCAGAATAGAGGGGATATAGGGAGTAAGACAACACATTCACATGGACTCTCTGAGCAGGACCTGGCTGTTGGCAGACTCTCCCAGTCAGCAGTTGCACAAGTGTATGAGGCATTCTCTGTTGTCTGGCTGCTTCTGTGCTCTTTCTAAGGCATAGCTGCATAGATTACCTTTTGGCACCAAGGTCTTGTTCTCTCAGAAAGAAAACCAATCTTCTGTTCAGGTATCATCCTTATTTTTACTGTTTGATCACTGAAATAAATGTTTTCATTACTGTTTATGCATAGCCAAATAGAATATCCTGTGTACTGTGGCAGAACGTGTTGCTGTCACAATCTGAATTCAAAGCCTTGCTGGGCTCTTAGCATAGCTTTGTCAGTGGCAAAGTCTATGCCAGGCTGTGAATTTATCTCCCCCTATCTGTGAGCGGTGGAAAGACTTTAAGTTAAAAACCCACCCTTCCTCAGGAATAATTGTCATCATCCCCAAACGGCTCTGTGCTTTAGAAAACAACACTTAACATGCAGCTGGAGCAATGAAGTTGGTTTTCCACAGGAGGCAGTAAATAAAAGTGTGGCACTGAGGAATAAATTTATCTGATTTACTTTTCTTACAGGTGTGATGTAAGTAACAACATCTTAACTCTATTTTTCTTCTAGCCTGAACTTGGTGCTTCTTTTCAGCTGAACACTGTTTTATTTCACTTTTAAGGTGGAATGCAAGATTACAACTACGTCTGGGGACAGTGCTTTGAAATCACATTGGAGCTGTCATGCTGTAAATATCCTCCAGCAGACCAGCTGGAAAAGTTCTGGAGAGACAACAAAGCTGCTCTGATTGAATATATAAAGCAAGTACATCTAGGTGAGTGTGCACATGGGGAAGGGAGCTAAAGCTGAGGCCAGGCCAGTGGGCAAACTTTGGAGCAATTGCTTCTGAATAGCAAGTGCTACATGGTCAGGGATGGGTAAGGGAGGAGAACATACAGGTATATTAGGTGTGCAGTGCAGGTGGCTTAGAATGCACTGGGGCAGGAGCAAGGGACGGGCCCTGGGGATGTCCTTTCATACACCCCTCCAGGGAGCCTGCTTTTCTGCACAGCCTAGAGACAGCCATTTCTTTCAGAGGTCTCTAAATGTGTGTTCACAATGTTTCACGGGTTTTTGCTGCTTGGAGTTTGTATTTTTGTAAGGCTTTTCCAGGTGTGATTTTGGCTTCACAGTTGGAAGAGAGCTGCTGCTCAGTGAAACAGTAGTGCTTTGCAATGACTTGAAGGGTTTGCACAAGTCTGTTGCTTATCTTGCATTCTGTTGCCTGGAATGTCTGGCTGCTGGTTTATCTTTGCTTAGTGCCAGAGCTGCCTTGAAGGAGGTGTGTGTGAGAATTGAGGGAATCTACTTCACAGGCAGACATTGTTGGTGTTCTGACATTGGGAAGTACTGGGTAAAAGGCTGGTATTTTTTTTAATTTGGAGGGAAAGAAAAGGGGGAGAGGTAGCAAAATACCCACCCCCAAACCAGTACTGAAGATTGAAGCCCTTCAGTAAAAGACACATGCAAGAAGTATGTATGATGCTTTCAGCAGCTGAGATTCAGAATCAGTGACTACATTGCTGCCTTCTAACTTAATGTGAGCATAAGCTATGAGCACCACCACTGGATTTTCTATTCTCATTCCCTTCAGTAAGATAGGAGTGACTGGTGATATTATCAGATGTGCTTGAGATCAGTGAGGTAGCCTTTGAGTGCATCCAGCAACAGAATTGTCTGATATTCCTGGAGAAGGAGGCTCACTACAGTTAGAGGTTGTGATCTTTCTCTGCCTTTTTCATAGGCATCAAGGGTCAAGTTACTGATAAGAACGGGAATCCTATTCCCAATGCCATTGTGGAAGCTCAAGGAAGGCCTCATGTCTGCCCCTACAGAACAAATGAACAAGGGGAATACTTTCTTCTCCTTCTGCCTGGGACGTATGTGATCAATGTAAGTGCAGCCTTACTGAATTATGGTTTCTAATGGTGACGTGTTCCTGAGCACAGCAAAACTGCATCCATGCAGATGAATGAGCTGAACTTGCTCAAGACACATGTACAGAAGCTGTAAAGACTCTTTAGCAGATTTGAAAGAAAATACCTTAAAATATGAGTCAGCAGAAGGGGATTTTTTGATACAGTAAGATCTTGAGTCCCTGGAATGTCTGGAGATAAGCACTCGTCTGACCTGGATGGTGGAGCAGGCTGGGATGAGGGTCTGGACCACAGTGATGCCAACTTGAGGTGTCTGAAACAAACTCCAGAGCTCTTGAAGGGTGAGGAGGGGGAGGCTGGGACCCACACAGCCCTGGGCTGGCACCACCCTCCATGGCAGTTACTCCCCAGGGTTGAAATGGTTCTTCTGCAGCAGTTTTCAGATGCTGGTGTTCAGAAAACATCAAAGGAAAATGGACTCTGCCTGCCAAGGGCTTATGCTTAACTGACATTGCCTGTCTTGCACAGCATGCAGTGCCCCCCATTATAAATATGCATTCTGTTTCTATTCAGTTTTGGGGAGTTTGTTCTTTTTGCTGTACTCTTTCCTCATTCTGTGTTCTCTGGCTTATGTTTAGAACACTTTTCTCTCTGTGTCGGAAGTGTCAACAAACACATCACACAATGGTTTGTTTCCCAGCTGAACTCAACATGTCACACCAATAAGAAACCTTTCATGTTTGTTCCTAGGCTACTGTACCGGGATTTAAATCCATCCTGAAGACAGTGGAAATACATGACAACACTGGTAACTTCAGTGCTCTGAAGCACGACTTCACTTTCCCAGAAGTCTCTATCAGGTCAAGTGCTGCTTTTTGTCCCAAAACTCCCCTCTACCAGGAGCTCCAATGGGCTTCAGCTGCAGTAAAACCAACTCTCCATGTCATCTTGGTTTTAATGGCCTTTCTGCTTGTAATCTTCCAATAGCTGGGAATGACATGAGGTGGCAAGGCAACATCTTCCTGCACAAATGCGGTTGAAATTCAGACATGGAGTTGTATATGCAAAAGAATGTATGTTTTTATGAACCAAACTCTCAGATTTACAGGCATGTTTTTTGCATTTTGTAAAATACTGGCTCGACAATCAAATGTTTTACTTTAATTACAATAGACTGTCATATTTTCTACATATTTTACTCTAAAGACACCCTGTACAGCCTATGGAGATAACTGTAGAATTGTGATGCACAAATAACAGTCTGAAGAATTTGCCCAAGTTTAAAAGAAGTCACGGATTGTCTACAACTGTTTCACACAGGCTCAGGTTCCTGTGTGAGCCGGCAGCTGGTGTGTCACCCAACGGAACTGAACGCCAGGAGCACAACCCTCATTTCTCATAATAAAGCCACTGCAGTCACTGAAAAATGGTGTTTTTCCATGTGCTCTTTCTTATCTGGACAGAAATAAGGTGAAGCCCAGTAACAGACACGGTCTGAGACAGGAACATGGAAATGAAGTGTAAGTATATGTTGAAGGGCTATACTGCTGAAAGCTTGATGGTAAGCTGTGCTACCATGCAACAGAGAACAACTCGGGTCCCTGAAAATGGTGTTCCCCCATTCCACAGGTATTGAAAACAATGTGGGAACAGCCAGTGACAGCTTTATACCATTGCTGGTCTCCATTTTTTACTGAATTTGGTATGGAAGCGAGGCTTTAGGTGGCTTCAGTGTTCCACAGCCCTGTTACTATGCTGTTTGCACAACCAGCTCTATTGGCCATGCTGGGAGCTGGAAGTGCCCAGAGAGGTGCACAAACCCAAGCCCTGTGCAGAGCCTGGCTCCAGCGCCAGCCGATACCCTTCAGTGCCCTGCCTGGGCTGGGCTGCAGGCATAATTACTGGGTTCCTTTCACCTGGGCAGCTGCAAGTCATCTTCAGGGCCCTTTGAAGCTGTCCAACAAAAACATGTATCAAGAAAAGCCAGTTGGTGCCACCCCCTCCTGTGTTTACTTGAAAACTCTATCTGCCAGCAATTTTCTTAAGCAATTTCAAAAGTGACCAAGAGAGCTTACCTTTGGGAACATCAATCTTCTCCTGTACATGGTAAATAAAATACCCACAGGAATTCAGTTAATCTCTTAATGCCTTTTCATATATCGCCTTTGCTGAGGTGGTTGCACCTGCCTGTCACACTAAGCCCTTCTCACTCAGGCACTTGAGCATTAATGACTCAGCTGTGCAGGATGTGTGCAGCACAGGAAGCTGTAAATGCACCTCAGAAACCAAAACAGCAGTGCTGGGCTGGAATGAGACACTGGCTTTTGAGTGTTTTCATCATTATCCATTTGAATTCTCTACCTTTTCTCCCATTCTTAACTACTACAGACTGTTTACCAGTCAGTGGAGTCAGTAATTCTCCACTAATCCCATCACTGATACTTGGTTCTGGGTCTGTCACAAGAGGAAGAGAGAGCACTTGAGTTTAAAATCCTCCACATTAAATAAATCCATGAGAAGCCAGTGGCCCAGCAGCTGAATGAGGGCAGAAAGAGCAAGTGCACTGGCTCATGGAATTAATCTGTGTGAAACCAAGTACCAGAACTTCAACAATCAAGTCACTGACACGAGAAAAGCACTGAGGAGAATATAAACAAATCTTTATTTAAAGCTTTCAAATGGAACATAGTATTTAGTTTCCTTAGAAAAGGAAAAAGTGAGAACCAAAAGGCAAAACACAATTACACCTGAATATTCTTTTCATAAATGGATCTATAATCTGTGCAATCTGAGTGGAGTTACTGACCGTGGTAGTAAGGTGCACTGGGTAACTAGAAGTTACGTGCTGTGGAAAGCTCTTGTATGTTCATCTAGGAGTGGCAGAATGGTGCAGTTAGTTAAATTCACTACAAACCAGCCCATTTAACAGTCATTCCAGCTGCGTGCAGTCAGACAACAAAGCAAGACGCTGCTTTTGGAAAAGCTATTTGGTCTTTTAGGGGTTATGGTGTTGATGGCAAAAGCAAGAATTTTCCTTTAAACTCAGGCTGTGAAGCTAAAGCAGCATCTACTCAGGGAGACAATGTCTTTTTAAGGATCACCAACAAATCTGATGTGTAGAATATATATATATATATACACACACACACACACACACACGAGGGGCAATCACTTGGAGCTTGCAGTGCATCTGTGCTAAACTAATGAGAAACCAGGTGTTAGTTAAAAATTGTTGCTTTTCATGTTTGCTAAGTGTGATCCATCATTCAAGACACCTTAAGCCCAGGTTTTGGGGTGGCTAGTTTGTTTATTGCCTTATATTGCTTGTGCAACCTTTAAATGACAAGTAACTGGAGGAAGGACTTTGACTTGAGTACGGATGAGATGGAGCTGCTCAGTCACCCTTAGAGCAGAGACGCACCAGCACTGGGAGAAGTGATGCTCCAGGGAAGCACTGGCCCATGGGAGCTGGATGTACAATGCAAGGTGTGAGCCCTGAGAGTAAACACGCTACATAATGTGCTTTACTAGGAACACCCAAAGCCTGCATCCATATGCTGGCGCTGCAGGTGACCATGAGAGCAGCTTACAGCACTACAGGTATGACGCTGCCTTTCTCCAAGTCCCATGCCTGTGTCCAGTGCTCTTTCTCACAGGGAAATACCACGACAGCAAATACCCTTTTTAGGCCAAGTGTTGCACAACAAAATGTTAACATGCTGAACAGATTTTAAATTACAAACTCTACTGCTAGTTATGCCCTAATGCAGCAGCAGCTTTAGATTAAGGTGGGCAAGAAAAATTCTTCACCCCTACATTTATCCTATTTCTTCCTTTCAGTTTCATTATGCTTTGATAATTTTCTAATCTCTCTTTTGTGAGAACACGGTTTTCTGAAACCATTAGTCTTGTTGATGCCTTCTGCAAGAATGAGGAATTGTTCTTCCCTCAAATTACTCTGTGAGGGGACAAAAATCTGCCTCAAGTCTTGCACATGGCCTCATACCCATGGACAAACACTTGGGAGACAGAGACATTTCAACAGATTAAGAGCAAACCGAATCCGGCACTAAAATCTACCACACAAACCTAACACTCTGCAGCAATGCCCTTTCTGCAGCACTTTTACCCCTTACAAATCAACCTGCCACAGGAAGAAGCCCCCTGCATGGCATGGCACAGCACGGCATACGCTTCTTCCAGCATTCTCATCAGCAACACTAAAACCCCATGCAAAGGGGGTGCTGCTGCTACTCAGATTCTTGGCTGCTACAGTTCTTTGCAGCCTCAGTGTCCCATGTAACTGGCGATCCAGCTACTTCTGCTTCAGCTTTGCAAGGTTTGTATGGGCCAAAACAAGCAGGTGTTGTAACTAATACATTTTAAGACTCAGTATTAAGGGTTCTCAAGTATTTTAATGTTCAATACCGCTTCCAGCCTTTTGAGAAAAGCTTTACACTGAAATGAAGCCATTTTACCATCTGCCTCATGTACTTCACCTCACACTTCACCTCCTTGGGTCAGGAGTTAAATTTCAATACCAATAAACAGCTAGCTACTGAAAAAAAGTCGTATTTAATCAAAACCTGGGTTTATGATACTTTATAAAAAAGAATAAATGTGAGTTCTTGTAGCATTTGTACATAACTATCATTTAAGTGAATGAAGGATCTGACCAAGACAGTTACTGAAAACTGCCCTGTTTGTCAGCTTTTGGCCACCCCTTCAGCTTTCTTGGTCATGAGTTTGAAGGCAAAAGCAATTACCGCTTGCTGCAAATTAACCTTGAAGCCTCTCATCACCTCTGCTGGTACCAGTCAGATTCTTGGTTGTACTCTGATATGCAAGCACATTCCAGAGGAAAACAAATACCATCAAACTGTTTCCACCATGATAATGCTACGCCAGCCTCCATCTCTAGTCAATAAATGTTGCTCAGGTTCGACACAGAAGTTGTTTGAAGGGAAGGAAAAAAAAACCCAAAGCAATAAATCTTCCTATGCCCCTCTTTATCTGAATATAATCTCTTTATATACTTCTCCTTATCTTGTTGCTAAAATATCTTAAATAATTTTCCTGTGACTGTGATTTACTAAGTATGCATATTTACCTAACTACACACGTACCAGTACACTGATTCAATAAATTAAAGCTCAAAACACTGAGCACAATATTTACAAACGGCAATAAATTAAGGATTTAAATGTGTGTGACATTAAATAAGGATCTCAAAGACCCCACCAAGTAACAACAACCACCAACTTCCATACGAAAACTTTGCCAAATCCTGTGCTGCTACCCTAGGCCAGAAACACGTGTGTAGGGCAGAGCAACACGAGGAGCACAGGGCTACGTGATGCTCACCCAATGCATTGTAAGCACAGGCCCATGGATTTCAGCCTTTCAGACCAATGACCTGGGGCCACAGCACTTGGGTGGCAGCACCACAAACCCCAGGGACTGGAATAGAGACCGATATGTGTCACTCCAGATCTGCAAGGCAAGCTGTGGAAGAACACATAACAAAACAGTCAAACCCCAAAGTCTTACCAGAAGCTATTAAGAACAGTATTAAGCCAGAAAATTACTTTCAAGACAAAAGACTTGCTCTGATTCCGTGTTTTGTCCATAGATGCAGATATCAAAATTGCCTACTGCCTCAGCATTACATGAAGTGGAGCGTATTTCCAGGGCATTTCAGCACAATTTTAAACTGTGAAAGGGAGAAATTAATCATGCTGTATGCTCTCAGTTTATCCTTTGCCAAAACAGAAACTTATTACCAAGAGATGAAATTGCTCCTGAAGAAAATTCCCAAAGCTGAGTAAACAGCAAGGACCGTAACTTTGACCACATGTGCTCTTTTGAGAGCTATTCCTTTAAACAGGGAGCTCACTTAAGAGAATTCACTGGAGGAGAATGCCAGAGTGGGATGGTACAATTCACAGAATCACACAGAAGTTTGAGTTCCAACCCCCTGTCCTGGGCATGGACACCTTCCACTAGAGCAGGTTGCTCAAAGCCCCTGTGTCCAACCTGGCCTTGAACACTGCCAGGGATGGGGCAGCCACAGTGACTCCGGGCAGGCTGTGCCAGCGCCTCATCACAGGGATGAAAGTCTTCCCAGTATCTAATCTAAATCTACCCTCTTTCACTTTAAAGCCATTCATTCCCCTTTGTCCTATCCCTACATGCCCTTGCAAAAAACCCTCTCCAGAACCAAGAGGACTGAAGCAGATGAACAGCTAAAGATGAATCAAGCTAGATCAGAAAACTTTGAATTTCAATCATCAGTCTTTTCCTAACCAGTACTAAATCACTGCTTTCCTCCTTTCTTCCATTTTCTCTTCACCCTTCATTAAGAAATTCAT